TTTCCTTCCCCATCACTTCCACCTCCTCACTCACAAACAACTAGCCCCATCCAGCTCTCGCTGGAAAAGCCTGCGCAGGCCACACGCACACACCAATACACAGCAACCCCTGTATACGCTCGCACATGCACAAACCAGGCTCCACAGTGGGCAGGACTCACTCTCAACCCTGCAATTGTCCTGTCCCCAGTTTGGGCAGCACTGAGCACAAACCCCTCCAGGAAAGAGGAGCTAGAGGAAGCTGGACCTCCGAGGGTGACCTGATACTCAGGCAGCACAAGTGAGTATGCAGATTATTCTAGAGACAACGGTTCAGTCTGGGGATCCACTTGAGTAGGAGGGGCAAGCAGGGCAACTTGGCATTACCCACCAGCACAGCAGAGGATAATTCTCCACCCCAGCCTGTTCTCAGAGAAGCAGCGTCCATGCTGACATAGTGTTTATTCACTGGCCTCAGCTGTTTTCAGAGTAGATGCACGCCCAGGCCGAGATCCTCCATCCCACTTTCTGCCACTCCTCTCATGAGCCCCCTCCCTCAGGCCACGTGCCCCCCTCACTCCCACCCCACTCACTGTGAGTGTAAATTTGGGTCGCCAGCTTGGTCAAGCTGTTTGGAGCTGGGAGTCTGGTTGTCGGTAGCTCCAGTTCCACATCAGTGTTCATTCTCCTGGTTATTTGCTCACACCAGCTCCCAGCACACATCACACACCCTGGGGGCATCACTCACCCGTTGGTCACACCCACTCCAGTGACAGCTTTACTTCTTTCCTCTCCATTGCACAGACTTAGTCACACCTAGTTGCACACACTAGTTCACAACAATTGGTTACACACACACAACAGCACACACCCAGTCACCCCCAGTTACACATGCTCTGTTTCCATCAATCAGACGCCCAAGCCCAGTCTCTCAGTTGCACAACTTGCTGACACACTCAGTGACACACCCTGTCAAAGCTGCAACACACACACACACAACCTTAGTCCCAGGTCTCTCCCAGGACTGGTATTGGTCAGGAGACAAGTTGACTTGCTTCTGGCAGCCTTGGGTCTTGGAGTGAAAGGGTGGGTTCCCCAAGGAAACTTGGGTGGGGAGTCTCCTCCCTCCAGAGTATTGCTCCCCCTCGTGCACATGCATCATGTACCTTCCTTTGCTGCATCCCTGGAGCCTCTCCTTTGGAAGGCACGGCCTGTGAATCAGCTTGGGGACAGGCTCCCAGCTGCCCCAGGCCTGCCAGCCTCTGCCTGAGACCTCCATTCATGTACATGCATTATCTAGAGATGCACCCATTTCCCACACAATCCACCTACCCACTGTTCTACAGACCAACCACCACCAACCACCACCGCACAAACACAGTTCTGACCCACTCACACCCCTGAAGTCCAGCTCGTGTACTTTTCTCCCTGTACAACAGCAACCTCCGAGCTGCTGCCCTCATGATCCCAATTCACTCAGGTTGAAGGTCCCTTCTCCTCTGTGCCTTTTGCAGCCCTTGACCCTGTCCGCTCTGGGCCTCTTACCTAGTCCCTCCCTTATGCCCCTTCCCAGGTGTGTGTATTAGGGGGGACATCTGTATTATCACCACAAACCAAACTGCTCTCGGAGGCCCAAGAAAGAGAGGGTGGCTACAGGGGGAAGGAGCAAAGGCGAAGTGCTGCTGGTTTGAGTGGCCGGGGCCATGCAGGGCTGCGTGAGTGGGCTTCCCTCTACCTGAAGGCTCAGAGGGGTGGGGAGGAGGGGGGTCCCCTCGGCAACCGGCAGGGGCGGAGGGGAGGCGCGCTGGCCCCAGCCCGTCCCTTTCGGGGGGGACTCATGCATCAAACTTCAATTTTCCGGACGATTGAATTAGTGATTTTTTTCTCCTGAACTAAAATACACTTAAGTCTTTGGGATTAATTACCACGTTCTGGTCCCCCAGACTGGAGTATTACTTATCGGAGCTGCGTCTGACACCAGCCCGACACCTCGTAAAATAAGGAACTGCGCCTCCTGGCCTCACCCGGCGCCGCCCGCCAGCCCCCGGGTCAGGGAAGGCGGAGCGGAGACAGCGAGCCAGCCAGCTCGGCGGTGGGCCGGAGGGGCCGGGCCAGGAGATCAGAAACCACCCTTATTCGGGGACGAAGTGAGCCGGGCCGAGGCCCCGGACCCAACGGGGAAGGAAGAGACAAAACCGGGCTGCTTCCCCCGGGCGTCGGGGAACAGAAAGCGGAGCTGCAGAGAAACCAGAGTCCTAGGTTCCTTTGCCTACAACGGCCCCAGACGGCGAAAGGACTCCGGGCACAGGGCGAGCGGCCCGAGGGTCCTAACCTTAAGGAACCTCACCTGCGAATGGGCGCAGGGCCCACAGCCCCTAACATGATACATGCCACACTCACACGCACACACGCTCGGAGAGTAACACACGTAATGCACATGCCCCGCTCCCACGGAGCTCACACCACACGCAGCCGCACCTCGGACAGGCCCGCAGGCAGAGATTGGCAGCCCAGGGCCGGCGCTAGCGTTCGAGGCCCAAGGCTCTGCCGGAGCTCCCGGATCGTCCCGGCCTGCGCGCAGGGAGCAGCTCCCCTCAGAGCCGGGGTGGCCGGGGAGAGGGTGGGCCGCACCCAGCTCGCCCCTCCGTCCCAGCCCCGCGCCCTGGCCTGCAGTCAAACCCTCAGGCCCGGCCTGCGTGCGTCGCTGACGGGGCCAGAGCATCAGCCCCAAGCGGCGGCTCTCTGTCGGGCAGAGTCCGGCCACAGGGCCATAGGGGCTCCCGGCGGGTCTCCGGAAGCCTGCCCGGCGACCTGGCAGTGGGACGGCATTGGCAGAGCTGAAGGGACTGCGGGACCGGTCGAATCTGCTCCCCAAATTGTGCGGAACTGAGCACGGGGTGGCGCGCGGTCTCGGGGCCTCCCGGCCAGGGCTCAGCCCGCAGCTTCTGATGACAGTCCGCTCCTTCCTTCGCCAGCCCTTCTGTCTGGCCTATGGCAGCAACGAATTCCCTCTTGTCTTTCAAGGCCTGGGTCCAATGCCACCTCCTCCGTGAAGCCCCCACTGCCGGAGCCCGAAGCCCTGTCTCCCAGTCCTGCAAATGCACTTTCCCTGCCCCTCGGCCCAGGTCTCCCGCTATCGCCGGGGGTGCAGTGGGTCTTGTCCTGCCAAACTGGGAGCTTCTTGAGGGCAGGAACTGGATCGGATTTCTTTCCATCTCCCGAGCACCCGGGGTGGCGGCCAGGCGCCGAAAAGACACACAATAAACATTTGCGGAATTGAATGAATCGTTCCCTTTATTTTTATTAATCCTTCCTCTTCCTCTTTCCTTCTTTCTCTCCTCCTTTCTTCCTCCCTCGTTATTTTTTATTTCTTGGTTATATTCAATTGTCATGTTTTTCAGGCTCATTAAATCCATTTAGAGACAAAAGAATAAAAG